TACAGTTAGTTACATTGTGTCAATTTCTGATGTACAGCGCAATATCCCAGTCATGCATATACCTACATAGATTCATTTTCATATTCTTTTTCATTAAAGGTTATTACAAGATATTGGATATAGTTCCCTGTGCGATACAGAAGAAACTTGTTTTTTAATCTATTTTTGTATATAGTGGCTAATATATTACCATACTGTTTTGATGACTGTATCTTTATGCACAGTTTGAAATCAGGAAGTGAGGTACTCCAGCTTTGTTCTTCTTTCTCAAGATTGTTTTAGCCATTGGCTGTCTTCTGTGTTTCCATTCAAAGTTTAGAATGATCAGCTCCAGTTCTGTGAAAAATGCCATTGGTATTTTAATAGAGATTGCACTGAATCTATAGATTGCCTTGAGTAGTATGGTCATTTTAATAATATTAATTCTTTCAACCCATGAACATGGCGCATTTTTCCATCTGCTTGTGCCTTCAATCTCTTTAATCAGTGTCTTATAGTTTTCTGAGTACAGGCCTTTTACCTCCTTTTTTCTTTTCGATGAAATTGTAAATGGAATTATTTTCTTAATTTCTCTTTTTGATAGTTTTTGTCATTAGTGTAGAGAAATGCAACAGATTTCTGTATGTGAAGTTTGTATGCCACAACTTTATCAAATTCATTGATAAGTTCCAGTAGTTTTTTGTGGTGTCTTGAGGATTTTCTATGTGTAGTAGCATGTCATCTGCAAACAGTGACGGTTTTACTTCTTTCTTTCCAATTTAGGTTCCTTTTATTTCTTTTTCTTCATCTGATTGCTGTGGCTGGGACTTCCAATTCTAGGCTGAATAAAAGTGGTGAGAATGGGCATCCTTGTCTTGTACCTGATTTTAGAAAAAATGCTTTCAGCTTTTCACCATTGAGTATGATGTTAGCTGTATGCTTGTCATAAATGGTGTTTATTATGTTGGGGTATGTTCCTTCTACATTCACTTGTTTGAGAATTTTTATTATAAATGGATGATGAATTCTGTCAAAAGCTTTTCTGCATACATTGAGATCATCATATGATTTTTATTCTTCAGTTTGTTAATGTGGTGAATCACATTGATTGGTTTGTGGATACTGAACCATCCTTGCATCACTGGATTAAAGACTTAAATGTAAGACTTTAGACAATTAAACTTCTAGAAGAAAACATAGGCGGTATGCTCTTTGACACTGGTCTTAGTAATATTTTCAAATATGTCTCCTCAGGCAAGGGAACAAAAGCAAAAACAAACAAATGGGACTACATCAAAGTAAAAAGCTTTTGTACAGCAAAGGATACTATCAACAAAACAAAAAGGTAACCTACTGAATGGGAGAAGATATTTTCATGTGGTGTATCTGATAAAGGGTTAATATTCAAAATAAACAAGGAACTCAAACAACTCAACAACAAAAAAGCAAACAACCCAATTGAAAAGTGGGCAGAGGATCTGCATAGACATTGTTCCAAAGAAGACATACAGATTGTCAACAGGCACTTGAAAAGATGCTCAGCATCACTAGTCATTAGGGAAATGCAAATCAAAACCACAATGAGGTATTGCCTCACACATGTCAAATAGGTTATTATTAAAAAGAGAAGAAATAACAAGTGTTGGTGAAGATGTGGAGAAAGGGAATCTTTGTGGACTGTTAGCGGTATTGTAAGTTAGTGCAGCCACTATGGAACACATTATGAAAATTACCCCCCAAATTAAAAATAGAAAAACTGCCACTTGATCCAGCATTTTCACTTCTGGATATCTATATGAAGAAAATAAAAACACTAATTAGAAGGGATATTGGCACCCCTATGTTTATTGCAGCAAGTTTTATCGTAGCTGAGATATAGAAGCAATCTAGGTGCCCATCAATAGATGAAAGGATAGAGATGTGGTATGTATACCTATATACGATAGAATATTACTCAACCATAAAAAAGAATGAAATCTTGCCATTTGTGACAACATAGACGGACCTTGAGGGCATTACGCTAAGTGAAATAAGTCAGACAGAGAAAGACAAATACTGTATGATTTCATTTACACGTGGAATCTAAAAATCAAAACAAATGAACAAACATAACAAAGCAGAAACAGGGTTAAAGATACAAAGAACGAAAAAGTAGTTTCCAGAGGAGAGGAGTGTAGGAGAGGAGAGAAATTGGTAAGGAGGATTAAGAGGTATATACTTCCAGTTGCAAAATAAAAGTCACTGGTATGAAATGTATGGTGTGGAGAATACAGTCAATAACTATGCAATTATTATCTTTGTATGGTTACAGATTGTAACTAGACTCATTGTACTGATTGTTTTGAAGTGTGTAAAAATATTGGATCACTATATTGTGTAACAGGAACTAACATAGAGTTGTAGGTCAATGATACTCCAAGAACAAACAAACAAACAAACTCAGAAAAAGAGATCAGATTTGTGGTTACCAGAGGCAATGGGTTAGGGGAGAGAGAACTGGATGAAGGTAATTGAAAAGTACAAACTTCCAGTTACAAGATAAATAAGTACTAGGAACGTAATGTAAAATATAATAAATATAATTAACACTGCTGTATGTTATACATGAAAGTTTTAAGAGAGTAAATTCTAAGAGTTTTCATTAGAAAGAAAAGTTTTTTCTATTTCTTTAATTTTGTATTTGTATGAAATGATGGATGTTTATTGTGACAATCATTTCATGACTTACATAAGTCAAATCATTTTGCTCCATATCTTAAACTTATACAGTGCTGTATGTCAATTACATCCAATAAAACTGAAAGAAAAATATGGAGCAGAAAAAAAATCATCATATGGAAGAAAACTTTCCTGAGTTTACAGAAGAAAATTTGGGAGTTTGAGATTTGCAAATGTTAATCAGTATGTATAAATAACAATGTTTAAAAAACAAATTTCTTCTGTATAGCAGAGGGAACTATAGTCAATCTTGTAATAAATTTTAATGAAAAAGAAAATGAAAGGGAATATATGTATATATATGCATGACTGGGACATTACGCTGTACATCAGAAATTGACATTGTAACTGACTATATTTCAATAAAAAAAAAGAAAATATGAACTTTTTTTATAAAATAAGTCATCTTGTGAAAAGAAACCTGAAAGCAAATATATCTTTTTTTAATCATTAAAAAATTGAAGTTTACTCAATTTACATTATATTAATTTCAGGTGTACAGGAAAGTGATTCAGTTTTATACATACATATACATTCTTTTTTAGATTATTTTCTATTATAGGTTATTATAAGATATTGAATATAGTTCCCTGTGCTATACTGTAGGACCTTGTTGGCTATCTATTTTATATATAGTAGTGTGTATATGTTAATCCCAAACTCCTAATTTATCCCTCCCACCTTCACCCATTGCTTTCCCCTTTGATAACCATTATTTTGTTTTCTATGCCTGTGAGTCTATTCCTGTTTTGTAAATAAGTCAATTTGTATCATTTTTTAAAATTTCATATATAAGTGATAGCATATTATATTTGTCCTTCTTTGTATGATTTACTTCACTTAATATAATGATCACCAGGTCCATCCATGTTCCTGCAAATGGCATTATTTCATTCTTTTTATGGCTGAGTAATATACAGTTGTATCTATATCTATATCTATATCTCACATCTCCTTTAATACATTCATCAATTGATGGACATTTAGGTTGCTTCCATGTCTTGGCTATGAACAGTAGGATGCATGTATCTTTTAGAATTAGAGTTTTCTCCAGATATATGCCCAGGAGTGGGATTGCTGGATCATACAGTAACTCTATTTTAAGTTTTTAAAGATACCTCCATACTGTTTTCCATAGTGGCTGCACCAAACTACATTCCCACCAACAGTGTAAGGCGGTTCCTTTTTCTCCTCTTTAGCATTTATTATTTGTTAACTTCTTAATGATGGCCATTCTGACTGGTGTGAGGTGATATCTCATTGTAGTTTTGACTTACATTTCTCTAATAATTAGTGATATTGAGCATCTTTTCATGTGCCTATTGGCCATCTGTATGTCTTCTTTAGAGAAATGTCTTCTGCCCATTTTTTGATTGGGTTGTTTGTTTTTTTTGATATTAAGCTGCATGAGCCGTTTGTATATTTTGGAAACTGAACCCTTGATGGTCTCGTCATTTGCAAATATTTTATCCCATTCTGTAGGTTGTCTTTTCATTTTGTTTATGGTTTCCTATGCTGTGCAAAAGCTATTAAGTTTAGTTAGGTCCCACTTGGTATTTTTTATTTATTTCATTAGTTTAAGAGAAGGATTGGAAAAAATATTGCTGCAATTTTTATCAAAGAGTGTTCTGCCTATATTTTCCTCTAAGAGTTTTAGAGTATCTGGTCTTACATTTAGGTCTTTAATCCACTTTGAGTTTATTTTTGTGTATGGTGTTAAAGAATGTTCTAATTTCATTCTTTTACTGGTAGCTGTCCAGTTTTCCCAGCACCACTTGTTGAAGAGATCGTTTTTTTTTTCTCCATTGTATATTCTTGCCTCCTTTGTTGTAGATTAAATGACCATAAGTGCATGGGTTTATTTCTTGGCTTTCTGTCCTGTTTCATTGACCAATATGTCTATTTTTGTGCCAGTATCATACTTTTTTGATCACTGTAGCTTTATAGTATAATCTGAATTCAGGGAGCATGATTCTCCCAGCTCTATTCTTCTTTCTTGAGATTGTTGTGACTTTTTAGGGTCTTTTGTGTTTACTTACAAATTTATAAAAAAAATTTTTTAAATTCTGTGAAAAATGTCATTGGTTATTTAATAGGGATTGCACTGAATCTGTAGATTGCCTTGGATATTATGGTCATTTTAACAACATTGATTCTTCCAATCCAAGAACATGGTATGTCTTTCCATCTGTTTGTTTTGTCTTCAATTTCTTTCATCAGCATCTTAACAGTACAGATCTTTTGCCTCCTTAGGTAGGTTTATTTCTAAGTATTTTATTCTTTTTGATGTGATGGTAAATGGGATTGTTTCCTTAATTTCTCTTTTTGATATTTCATTGTTGGTATATAGAAACGCAACAGAATTCTGTATATTAATTTTGTATCTAGCAACTACAGAATTCATTGATGAGCTCTAGTAGTTCTCTGGTAGCATCTTTAGGATTTTCTATGTATAGTATCATGTCATCTGCAACAGATATATCTTGACAAATGTTTTAATTTAATAATAAAGAATAATAATCCAAAGTTACCCTTGCAAGATAAAAGAAAAATTACAAAAGAAAATATTTTAAGAAGTCTTCCAGAGATTTCAGAACATCTCTTCTAACACTGAGTATTAAAAGACAGTGCAGGAATTCCTTTGGATTTTCATGGGGAAAGATGTGGAGATTCAAATTTATTACAACTAGCCTGTAAGAAATTACCAGCAAGATGTGTTTGGTTATCCAAGACCCACATGATTTTCTTGGAAAATTTATTGGTAAAGTGAAAAATAAATCAAAGGCAGATATTTAGTAATGGGGAAATCATACTATAAAAGGCCTATGGTTGGCAGGTACATGCTTAGATCTAGATATTAAGTAGTATTGTAACTGAAGAACTGAAACTTCTTTTCAAAAATTGAAAAAAAAATTAAACTAGACGGTACATGACATTTAAATAATAATAAGACTGGCATAAACATATGGATGAAAGGGTGTAAAAATTCCTCATCTAACAGGGGAGTAGAAAGTTATTAAATTTTCTTGAATTTGGTAACCAGAAAAAACAAAAAAAATACATGTTTTGGAAAATCTTAATGGATACCAGAAGTAAATTTGAAACAGTATACATGCTTCCAAGTCACAGGAGAAAATAAAAACAAAGGAAAAACTCTGAGGAAAAGCACAAAGGAAATAGTAAAAGCATACCAAAGAAGAAAGTGTAAAACAAGATAACAGAATAAAGAAAAAATACAAATATTTTATATATATTTCTATATATAAGAACTGTAATTCAATTATAATCAACATGAAAGCAAACACTTAAAAAATACAGAACCATTCTGGGTGAAAGTTAGGTGCAGGTGAACTCACCCCGTCCACTGCTTCCCAAATGCAGCTCCTCAAAGAAAGAGCGGAAAGACTACCTTCATAAAAAGTAGGATTCATGCAAAAAAAATTAACCAGCGTGGAGAAACTTTTATTATTGAGGAAAGGTATAATCAGCCATAAAGAAATAATAAAAATAGACTTATATGTGCCAAATAAGGCACCATGAAAAATAAAGGAGAAGTTCCTAGAAAGCTTGTAGGTGACATGCATATTAAAATAACTCCCCTTTTGGAATGTACCCAAATGAACAAAAAGACTCCAATATACAGAAAGAGTCTTGGTCATTGATGAAACAAACAACTTCACTCCTATAATGGACAGAAGAATATAAGCAAAAAGCAAAAAATTTTAGATGAAATCAGAGGATGATTTTAAGGGAAGGTGGGTATCTCTCCTAATCCAGAGGAAAGTTTAGGACCTGATAGTTATGAGAATGATTGAGATCCCCATGAACATCTCTCAACCTGAAGAGGGAATACTAGGTTATGGATGGCTTGGGGTGCATTTCCACAGCATAAAGGAGTCCAGGAAGACAAAGCTGAAGAGGGGACCATGTGGCCTTGTCATTTAAACTTTCTCTGACTGAGAGGAGTGACTGTAGA